CTTAACCCACTGAGCCACCCAGGCGCCCAAGTTTTGGGGTTTTTTTAAATCCATTTCTTTGGGCCTAGTCAAGGACACATTAAACATTTGGCTGAGGCTCTGGACACCAGAGCAGTTGCCGACAGGACTGGAACAGAGCTGAGCTGACTCAGGATGCCAGCCTGCCGCTCTTTCACCCTGGCTCGAACAGTTCTCTCTACCTGCATTCGATTTCGGCACTTTTTCTCCTGTGTCACAAGAGAGATGAAGAAGGGAGTTATCATTTCTCTTTGGATTAAACCATGGGTAAAATCTTAAGTCTTCATTGTTACCTCACGTTTAACTGTTTCTTACTGTTGTAGTTCCTTATGATAACATGCCACATGGTGGCTTCTCTTGGATAATATATCTTCTTCCCTTGTGACATTGGAAGCATGAGTGATCTGTGCTCGCCCCCCCAACTGCCTCCTTAATAGTATTGATTTGGAAATAGACCGAGGGAAGGTATTGGTTGTATTGAAGCATGTTAAATTCAGAAATGGCAGAATTTCAATAAAACCAGACTTTATCATTTTTATTACATTTTTAGGATGGAGAGAGACTGGAGAGAAAGTTTCTGGAATACTCTGTTGAATCAAATCCTGGGGTCTGATTCAAGGTTCTTAATGATTTTTCCAGACCTTGTAATAGGTAGGGGAATCTAGATGTAGGCACTAAGGAGAGAGCTCTCCTTTCACCTACTTTTCTGTGGAACCAGTGTTGGCAGTTCCTCCCCTGGTGTTTAACATTATGAGAAGGAGAAAGCTCTTTCTTCTAACATTGAATCTTAGGTAATAGACTCTGGTCCCTAAATTTTTCTGAGCCAGAGAGAGGGCCACAGAAGAATGGGCATATTCGGAAGTTCTTCCTCTTCTACTGTTTTTAGCTTAGCTTCATGTTCAGTTACCAAAACCTGCTCTGAAGACTGACACAAAAGAACGAAGTGGGCATCATCTGGTTTCTCGGTGACAGTTTCGGACAAAGGAGGCTTTTGAAAAAATAGGGTCAGGTGAATATTGGGCTATTTAAATCCCATTTCAGTGCTTGCCTGAGGACCAAGTCCTGCTTCCTCCCCCCTTTCTACAGGCCTTAACCCTTTCCTCCCTCCTCTCCATTCACCTCCCACAGGAGGAAACCCTGGGCAGCCTTTCCAACAAGAATATCAGTGACGGATAGAAACTTAGTTGCCGAAATGGGGTTGGTCAACAAAATCTCCCTTTGGAAGAGAATGAGGAACCAGGGTACCTAAGTTAGCTCAGCTCATAGAGTTAAAGTTATCAGCCTTAGGTAGAATATGCTTGCTTTTTTTATTTGGGCCTTCTGGCTTTCTTTTGTTTGTGTCAGGGACTCCCAATGAAGTGTTGAACTGACTTAATCTTCCAAACACTGTAAGGTAGGTAAACAGATGCGGCAACAAAAGCAGGTTGGTAACTTGCCCAAGAGTGGTAGAGCCAAGATTCAAACCCAAGCAGCTTTTCTCCACAGCTACTCTTTAGAGACCATACAGCTTATAATTATTCTCACATGCAGTAGTTAATATTTGCCTTTTAGTTACAGAAAGATCAGAAACAGTCGAGACAATGGAGAGAGCTTCAAGCAGAGCTAGGATAATTCTCAGTGGACCTCAGTGTTGTGATTGTTTTCACCGTATTGTATCTTTCTCATCAGGGGCCAACCTACCTTTTTTTTTCTAGTGCTGAGGAATGTAAACAAGTTTGCTGGGCCTTGAGAGACTTCACCAGGTTGTTTCGATAGCTCACACTCCTGCACTGTGCCTGTCACCCAGGTGAGTGGTCACAGTTCCCGGCTTTTTCCCTGGCTGTTCGGAGCGCTTGGGGATGACATAGGTTTTAATGCCCATCGTGGGACTTGTACTATAACTAGTTTGGGAAAGACTTAACAGTTAAACAGTGCTGTTCAGATTAAGAAATGCAGGACCCTGGTTTGCTTGGGCCCAGGCAGCCAGATGATTGTTAGCTGCGTCTGGATACCATCTTCACCCCCGTAGAAGTTATTATTGTAGGAGATCTCAAAAAAAAATTCCTCCTCGTATCCCCTTACTTACACTTTAGGATGGTAAGTGTGTATGTTAATAAACAAGTATTTTTTAACCTGGCTACTTTGGTGAAAACAATGCTGACCTAAAGCAGACCGAGATTACAGTAACACCGTTCTAAAACTGACCTTTCAGATTTAATGAGCAAAGATGATTATTCTGAACACTTTGACTATCAGAACACTGAAATGCCAGGTTCTACCCAAGGCAGGAGGTAGAGGAAAGGCTCCTGATCACCAGTTTTTCTCCATGTGCTTCCTGACTCCTGGTTCTGCAGCAAAGCAGGAATCTTAGCTGAGGACAGGAAGAACTGGGTAGTAGGATGTGGGTGCCAGTTTCTTGACTGAGAGAAGAAAGGCAGCTTTCTTAAGCACCCACACCCCCTTTAGAGGTCTTAGGCGGAATTTATTCTCCCACGAGGCAGTTCTCAATGTGTAGCTCCTCACTGGTAGTTTCTGTCATTTAATGTGGTAGTGGATGAAGGCCCCTCTTCAGCAGTGCGTCACTCACACCAGAAATTATTTCTAAATTTTCTTCTTTAGTGAATAGTGATACCATTTGGGATTCTTGAATTTTGCAGCATCGGTAATAGGTATCATTGGTACACATAGGCTTATTGGTGGACAGCTATGGACGCTCATAGCTAACATTTATGGAGCCCTAACTGTGTCAGGTACTGTTCTAAGTACTTGCCTGTATTAACTAAGATAATCCTCAGGTGGTTCTCTGGACTATTACCATTATTAGTTCCATTGTATAGGGGAATAGAGGTTTCAGGATGTTAAACGATTTGCTTGATGTACAGTCAGTAATTGATAGGCCACAATTCACACACAGGTATTCTGGTGCCAGAGTCCGTTCTTTTAACTACTCTACTTCATGCTTTCATGTAGTACCCTTTCATATAGACTAAATCAGTGATTTTTAAACTTTAGATGATAGGCAAAGTCTTCCTTCAGAAAACTTGCCTGAAACCCCAGTATTTAAACGGACTAAAATAGAGATTTTCTGGTTGGTTTGGGGTGGGCAGCCCAGACCTGCTGGCGTACTCTTAACCCCCAACATATTACCCTAGTTTCACAGCACACTCAGAGAAGGACTTCAGACAATATCATTAGAGCCGTAGCGCTCTTGATTCACAAGTAAATACTCCAACTTTTTTTTTTGCTGAGTTCTCACAGCAGAGGCCTGAATGAGGTACCTGAGCAAACAGGAAAACTTCTACCTTGACTTTGAAGTTTACTATCTTCTGAAGCATAGTTATTGACTGTCCTCTCTCTTTTATCAGGAATGTCTTTTTTAATTAGAAGACAGGAAGAAAACAAAAACCAGACTGTGTCCCACAATCAGAAACCTCCACTGTGGCAGAGGGGCCTTCACCGCCACCACAGCGTCCCGCCAGACAGGGAGAGACTCCAGCCTTTCGAGGCCATCCTGAGGAGTTCCTGTTTGGGGGTGTGAGGGAAAATCAGCGCGGTTTAAAAAAGACATGGCTGCGGCCTGTCCGGCGTGGTGGGAGGGGAGCTGGTTTCCTGGTGAACTTGTTTCAAAGGAAAAATAATTTTAAAGAAATAAAAGGAAAAAAAGGAAAACTAAACTAAAACCAGAACTGAAACGTTCACTTGGTAGCAGTGACACGCACACACACACACGTACCCACACATGCTAACATGCATGTGCACACGAAATAAAAGTACGAATTTTTGTGAAACCGAAACCGTTTACTTAGGGAAAATGGGAATTCAGATGAAATAACTGCAATTGGAAGAAAAGGGTCAGGATCATCTCTTAAGGTTTTCTGTTATTTTTTCCTCTTTTTCTCTCCCACCCTCCCTTCTTCCCTTTCCCCTCCTCTTTTCACAAAAATGAGTAGAAATTTCTCCCACTGTCCCAGCATTTCTTCCCACCTCTAGAGTTGTTCTGACAAGGAGGAACCTGTTCGTTTTATATCATGGTCACATCAGTGATACTGGGACCTGCCAGGGCCAAAATTCATGTATATTCCCAGCCCTGACCCTATCCAGTCTCTCAGTCCATTTCCAATCCACATTGGGTTATCATCAGCCTTGGAGAGAAGAGCCAAAATTAGGGTGAGTGGGATATAAATGTATATTCTAAGTTTTAGGGTTTTTTTTTTAAAGATTTTTGTGTTTTTTAGTTAATTTTTCACCCACAGACATGAGAGAAGACAAAAAAGAGGGTGGGATTATGGGGGAAAGTGTTTACAGGGCTAACTGTATTTTACTAAAAAAAAAAATGTGGAAATTATTTGACTTCGTTGGGGGAGTGAGGCGGGAGAGGGAAGCCCAAACCAGATCGTACTGTTTTAATGGAGTTGCAGCCCTGCACAGGCATTAGATTTGAGGGCACTGTTCTGTCTGGTGTTGTAGCCATCTCAAGAACAAATCAACAGCAACAACAAAAAAAAAAAGGAAAGAAAAGAAAACAATAAATTTTTAAAATTTAATCAGTGTTTGTTTCTCCTTCCTTTCACTGCCTCAGAGCTCTGAAATGATGGCTAGACAACGTGAGCGAGCAGTCTCAGCCCTTACCTGGGAGACAGCTGCAGATGGAGTTTAGACGGCGGGCCCTGCCCTTGATGCCACGGGCCCTTCATATTTCGGGGGAGCGGCTCTTTCTGCATCTTTTATTTTAGTTCACCCTAAAACTCCTCATGCTACATTTTATCCTTCCATATAGCTTCCATGGGTCCCTGAGCATGTTAAACAGAAACGTGCTATATGTATTCTTTCTCAACAGCCGCCCAGCTAGACTGATTGGTAACCCACTGAGTGCAGAATTTGGTCTTCGAAAAAGGAAACCTGTATTGCAGTATCATTGACATAGAATAAGCTGCACGGATTTCAGTTCTGTAGTTGATAAGCTTTGACATAGGATACACCCATGAAACCATGAACACAATCAAGATAGTGAACATACCTTTACTCCCAAAAGTTTCCTCATGCCTCCTACCATCCTCTAGTAGCCACTGATCTGCTTTCTGTCACTGTAGATTAGTCTGCATTTTCTTTAGTTTTATATAAATAGGGTCACACAGTATGCTACAGTATTGGGTTTTGAGCCAATAAGCTTGACTGCGGAGCTCTGTATAGTATTTGGAATCAATTAAACAAACCTTTCTGCATAACATCAGTTGTACTCAGAATTTGATCTGGACAGGATTTTAGACTGCACACAATTAAAGACCCACGCCCTTACTTCAGCTAGCTTCCTCCTAGAAAGCAAAGCCGGCCAACTGAGTGCTTATGGAGCCCCACTGACTCATCAGCCTGAAAAGGCAGGCCCTCCTCCTGTTGTGGCCCTGGAGTTGGAGGGTAGGTACTAGGGGAAACAGGGCCATCGAATATCAGAAATAAGGTCTGGTAGAACAGCATGGAAGCAACTGGTACTGGAAAAAGTAAATAGCTGAATCTGTTTCTCATATTTATTAATTGAAAAATACATAAAATTCTACTTCTGCCTGTGTTCTTAGACTCTCAAGGAGGAGGTAGCTGCTGGCCTTAAGGATCTGGTATGATACCCAAGTGCCTGTCTATCTCGGAGGGAGAAAGATGTGAGGAAGTGAGGCTCAAACTAGGGGACCCCAACATCGGATTAGACCCATGTCCTGGTGAGGGGGCGTGGTCCACTGTACTTGTCTCTTTTTGCCTGAGGAATTGGGGTAACCTCAAGAGTGGGCCACTATGGGACAGTTCCCTCTCAACTAGGCCCCCAGGGTTGGTGGAGTTAACTTCTCTGCTCACTGGGGCTAATAGCTCAGTTCCTCCAGGGGGAGCAGAGGAGAGGCACATAGAGGAAGATAGCCCTCAAAGCAAAACTGGCTTCCAGCTTCCCTCAGGTGCTATGAGAGAAAGCCTGGAGCTTGGACCTCTCTTCCCTCTCCTTGGTGCAAATCCCTTTCCAGGAGACCCAGGTAGAGGGCCCTGCAGCCGGTCACGTGCCCACAGGGGCCATCATACCTTCACATGAGCCCACACAGCCACCTGGGAAGCCTGCACCAGTCCCTGTCTGCAGTCTCATTGCTGCATGCCAGCTGGGTGCATGGGCCAGGCCCCCTGGCCAGCACTGAGGCCTGCCACGGGAGAGGCCTGGGCCACCGGCTGCAGCTGCTGCTGGGACAGCCAGATGTGATGGAGCTCCTTGAACTGCTCCACCATGCGGTCTTTGAGGTCTGGGTTTGAGATCTGTAGCCGGATACTATCAGCTGACCAAGAAAGCTCCCCTGAGAACATCTCCAGCAACAGCCGGGCTGCTACAGGCACCACCTGGGGGGCAAAGAGGGACAGGGAGAACCTTGGCCGTACTGTCAAATCCAGTTGTTCCCAAGGCATCCACCACGGAGCAGGTGGACTTCATCCACCAGGAAGAAGGGGCACCAATTTCTACTTCATAATAAAGGCTGTGTATGTGTGGGCAGCTCCAGGCTTTGATTATCTCTGTCTGCCAAGTCCAGACTGCTCAGAGAGCCCTAAGCCTCCACCCTAGGGCAAGGGCTGAGCCCCAGGATTCCCCCAGTATTCAAGCCAAAGCAGAGCAGGGGCTTGAGAGAGGAGATGGTGGTCTACCTGTACGGTGATGAGCTTCTTCTCCCGGGGTTTGCGGTCAGGCCACTCCTCCCCAAAGCAGAAGAAGATCTCGAAGGGCGGTGGGGTGTTAGTCTGGCCCTTTTGGAACAGGATGAGCTCTGCAGCAAGATCAAGAGCCTTAGAGGCTAGAACCATGCACCTGCACAAGAGAAAGCCAGGAGGAATACGACACAAGTCCCTCACCATTGAGAAAATGCTCCAGGCTGAAGAGCTTGGTTTTGACCTCCCGCTGGATGGGGTTGGGGTGCGAGCTGTGGGCCGAGGCACAGGGCCCGCTCCAGAACACCTTGCACTGGCACAGGCGGATGGCATACAGATCTTGGCCTTGCAGCTGGAGTATGAGCCCGCGGTCGAGGACGTCCAGCAGCTGGTTTGTGTAGAAGCGCTGCTTGTCGCTGGGGATGTCCTCAGGGCTGGGGAAGCGTACTTGCTCCAGGCTCACGGGGCCGAAGAGCTCTACCTGCTCCTGGGTGGCTTCCAGCTGACTGTAGAAGAGCCGGCAGCCCTGTGGGTTGCTGATGGTGAGGGCCCGGGGTGGTCGCCCCCGGTACTGGAACTTGATCTCCAGGTCAGTCACTGTAGGGCAGAGGGCAGGCCCGGCCAGTCTGTGAGCCCCACGCCCCCTTGTTCTGCAGCCCCTGACTTGCTCTGTCCTCTGCTCAGCAGCAGCCAGCCCATCTAGTCGGCTCTCCCACTTCCTTCCCCCCGACCACCCAGGGAGGGCCTGGCTTGAGCATCTTCACCCTTCACTACCCTTCTTGCAAACCAACCCGCCAGGCCCACTTTACCCGGCCCAGCCCTCCTGAGGGTCCTTACGAGGCAGCATGTGGGGGCTGATCAGCAGGTCAGGCAGAAGCTGTTGTTCACCCGTGGGGGGCAGGCCAGCAGCAAGGGGCCCAGGCTGCAGGCTTGGCAGGACCTCAGGGAGAAGTTCCCCAAAGCCAGCAGGGTTGCCAGGGGCGGGGCCCAGGAGGCTGGGGTCCGGTGCAGGAGGGCCCAGCACCACAGGTGGCTGGAGAGCAGGTGGCCACTTGACCTCCTCTTTGGGTAAAGAATAGGGTGCCATGGGGGGGCCAGGTTGCACGGCTTCTACAGAGGGTGGAGGCAGGCAGAATTTTAATGCCACTTCTGAGAACGTTCCTCCCAGGCCCACCTACTCTCAACCCTGGGCACCCAGCCTGCAGCCTCCCTTCAGCCCCCTCCCAGAAACTGAGGGGACCTAAAGCTTCTCCTTATACTAGGCCCCCAACCACACCCCCCTCCCGGCCCCACCTGTGATGCTCAGGCTTGGTAACATCCTCTGGAGCTGAAGGGAAGACCCAGGCAAAGGAGGAGGGAATAGGCCAGAGAAAGAGAGAAGGGAGGACAGGTTAATGAGTTGATCAGATGCTAAAGAAATAACCCATGAGAACCACACAGGCAATTCCCCGGTATTCAGCTCTGCAAGGCCGGACGGACCCTGCCTTTGGTCCCAGCTCTGCACCCCCAGGCAGCTCTGTGAACTCTCAGTGTCGTGGTGTCCTCATGGACCTTCTACAGGTAGTAGTGCCTATTCAGCCCCAGGAGGGTGTGCCAGACAACATGTGGGCATGTTCTGTTACCAACGAAGCCCCAAGAAGGTCTAGGCTAGCCTCAGAACCCCAAGAACAAACCCAAAGGAAGAGCTATAAAAAGGGCAGCAGGGCCCTGGAGGAAAGGGACCGCTTAACCCAAAAGCAGAGCAGGACAGCAGAAAGGCCCTAACAAGACCTACCACATCTGCACAGGCGGATGCCGCCAAGAAAGGTCCTGAGCTCGCGTTTTCCTCTTCCTCCACCTCCTCCTCCTCCCCTGCACCAAAAGTGTAGTCCTCACTGGGCTGTGACTCTGCAGGGCAGGGAGAGGACACAAAGCAAGGGAGTCAGTAGGGGAGGAGAAGGAAGGTCACCAGGGCTCCGTAGGACAGCTCCAGCAGTGAGGTGAAAGGCCACACAGCCACCAGAAATCGCTAGGGGCCTCCCTGACCCCATGGCACTAAGCTCCTCAGGTCACTAGACCTACACGCCCTGGAACCAAGAGCCGAGAACAGGGACAAGCTGAGGAAGACAGACACAAAGCCCAGTCTGTGCCAAGTCATTCAGGGCCCCAGCACAGGGTCCATCGCGGGCCACTCCCAGGAACCTGGGGTGTCACGACTTCGAAGCATGTCCCTCGCCACTGCATCCTGGAGGAGCCCTGGGCCTTCCTTAACAGCCTCCTAGGGAGCCCGCACAGGGCCAGGCCTGATACCTGCGGGAGCAGAGCCATTAGAGCAGACCTCGTAGATCTTGTAGGGCTGAGGTGGCATGTCCCGGGGTCCGTCGTAGATGAGGCGGAAGTCACGGCTCTTGTTAAGGGCACAGCGCAGGTTGGCCTTCCACTTAGCCGGGTCCGCCTCGTCCACCCCCTCCGTGTACTTGCCTGTCTCCTTGGCCCAGGCCTGAGGCAGGAAGAAAAGATAGGCAACCACAGAGAACCTCGGTCCTCGCCAAAGCCCCAGCCCCTCCTGGCTCATGGGAGTCACTGCTGAGCAGTGAGAACTTCAGGGACACATGGAGCCTGACCTGAGTCTCCCTCTGCCAGGTGGGAGATAGGACTCCAGTCCTTCCCCGCCCTCAGGACTCCGACGAAGGAAAGGAAGTACCTAAGGGCTTTGAAAGGCATTTCCTTCACTGCTCCTGCCAGGGTACATATAGATAGTCTCTAAGGAGGATGGTGTCACATGGTGGATAAGAGCATGGGATCTGCAGTGGGGTTGGATTTGAATCTGGAAACAGCCAACCACCAGCTGTGTGCCAGGGGCATGTCACTTTGCCTCTTTTTGCTATAACATCCCCATCACAGTGCCCACCTCACAGGGTGGCAGTGAAGACTCCAGGGCCCACAGAGCTTCCAGAACTGTGCCTGCATTTTGGATGGGCTCCATACACCTTAGCTGTTGGTATTATTTTGGGGGGTAAGTTGGCTGATAGCAGGATTACAAATATTTCTTCCCCTTAACCTAGCAATTCGACCTCTAGGAATTTATCGTCGGGATACAGAAGCAGCCACACAAAATTCAGCACCTACGAGGTTTCTCACTGCAGCACTATTTGTAAAAACAGAGGACCCCGAACAAATGTCCATCCCTGGGAACTGGTTAAATTACAGCCAATCCTTAGAATGGAATACTGGGCAGCAAGAAAAAAAAAAAAAAGGAAGACATTTTCGATATCTTGACATGTTATAATCTTCAAGAAACGGGAGATGCAGAAAGGTACATCTACATCTATGATTTTGTGAAAAGCGGTGGCAGGGGGGAAGATAGGTACCTATTTGTGTGTATGCACAAAAATCTCTCAGGAAGGATGAACTAGAAAATGACAATACTAATTGCCTCTGGGGAGGGAGGGGGTGGCTGGAGACTTTTTTGGGGTGGGAGGGAGATTTTTTTTTTTGCTGCAAACCATATTACACTTTTTAAATTTTGAATTGTGGTACCTATTCAAAAATAAGAGATTTGAAAAGAAACTTCAAAGGGTTAAATATCAACCTGCCAAGACAAAGGAGAGCATATCGAAATCTTATAATAATAATAATAATAATAATAAGGATTCTCTTTGACCTAGCAATGTTGAATTCCAAAAACTACCCCCAAAGAAAATCACATGAGATCCACAATGGACAAGGGTTTAGAGGAGGGTACAGGGTAATAAGGTCTTCAACACTGGGACGCTAGAAGGAACGGGAAGGGTCCAAAGGCAGGGTTTGGATAACTAAACTGCTGACCCCTCCAGCAGTCGCTGAAAGTGACGTGGCCTTCGTGGCAGAGGAAAGCTGGTTCTGATGTTGGTTGGAAAATGCAGGATGCAAAACAACGATTTCATGTTTTAATTTTATCGACGCACATATAGAAAAGTGCAAATGCCGTTAGCTCCTTGTGTTCCCATCACGGGGGCAATCTGTGGTTTCCATTTAGATCCAACACCAAACACGCACGCTGCACCCGTACTCTCGGGTGGTAAGAATGAGACAAGAAAAGGGAAGAGGAGGAAGGTCTCCCGGGGGGGGCCTTTCCATGCCCATGTTGCTCTGGGCAAGAGCTTAAAAAAGACAGAGCTGGGGGTAGGTTAAAAAAGACACATCCCAGTCCCACATCGGGCTCCTTGCTTGGTGGGGAGCCTGCTTCTCCCTCTGCCTCTGCCCGCCACTCTGCCTGTGCTCTCTCGAGCTCTCTCTCTCTCTCTGACCAAAAAAAGAAAAAATCTTAAAAAAAAAAAAAAAAAAAAAGACACATCCCCGGGTCCGAGCCTGGGGTCACCTACGGCCAGGCGGCCAGGAGAGGTGTCAGTGTGAGATGTATGGGGATCCTCTTTGAGGGCAAGGGTGCCCCGGAAGTCCAGGCAGTCACCCCCACCCGGAGCTTACCTTGAAGATGGTATTGTCTCCGTCCTGGCTGGGGCCGTGCCGCGTGGCGTGGCGCCACGGGATGCAGAAGAATTTCCTTTCCCCATTGACCCACTGCAGCCCTGGGTACTGGCAGCTGTTCACCTGGGCCACCAGCCAGGGCTTCAGTCGCACGCGGCGGGGCGGAGGGGGGGCCCTGGAGGCAGGCTGGTTCATGGCAAAGGGGTCTGTGGGAGAAAGAGGGGGTCATTAGTCATCAGAAGATTTGCAGATAGACGCTCCCTGCAGCAGGAAGATGGGGGGCTGGAGTACATGGGGGTCCAAGCCAGGGATAGTATGGCTTTTCTTTTTCTCCCAGCACTGGGGGCTGGAGTGTCTCCCATCTGCCCGGATGCTCCCAGCCAATTCCTTTTTCCAACCATCAACCTCTTTGTCATAGGGTCACTGTGTCTGTGCTTTGTGTTTGAGGGTGGGAAGGGAGAAGAAGGGGGTTACAGAGAGAGGGGATGCTGTGCGTGCTCCCCCCACCCCAGACATGCTGTACCAGGTGGGGCATCGACTCCCCAGCTGCTGTGAGGCTGGAAGGCCACAAAGGTACGGAGCTGCTCCAGGGCTAGGCTGCCCACAGCTGACGAATGACTGACACGCAGGGACAGAAAGCCAGCCCCCTTGCTTCGGGTGGAGCAAACCAGTGCAGCCCATTCCACCTCTTTCCTCAGCTTTCCTCCTGCCCACCCTGCCTCCCTCCCTTCCCTTCTGCCCTTCCTCTCTTTGTCCCGAGAATTCCCTTGCTCTGTCACCTTCTAGGAAACCTGACCAAAGAGCAAGTCATAGTGTGGGAATGAAGAGAGGGTTCCCACACCCGTTCCTCAGAGCTTCCTTTCCTCCTCAGTTTCCCTCAGGACTGAAGCTTCCCCACATCTGGACGTCTTGAGAGAAATTCCATCGGCCCCCTCGGTCTACCTCCTGGTCACCAGGATAGGAGCCTTAAGTGGGACTTGAGAAATACCAGCTAACTGATATACCCCAGATGCTGGAAGATTCTGTCCTCCAGCTGTTTCTCCCCACCACCAGCCCTGCTGTCTCTGGGATCCTCCTCTGACTCAGAGTAGGGTGAGACCAGAGGTCAGAGGAAGGCCGCTGGGGCTATGACACAGGCAGGGATCTACGGTGGGTTGGGCCTATCATGGAAGGAATGGCTGAAGGAAATGGGGCCTCTGGATTGGTGGATAGGGACCAGAGCTCTCTGTAACATTTGTGGTACCAGCATGGGACAAAAGGACTAGGGTTTGAGTCAACATCTGGACAGCCTCCACTGGGGCAGACTAGACTCAGATCGAAAAAGAACTTTATAACAGCTAAAACCATGGAACTACTAGGGTAGGCCTGGGAGCAACTGGTTTCTGGGGGTACTCAAGCCCAGGGGACTTCCTGGCCCACTTTAGGTGGGAGATTGGAACAAGACGATCTCTCAGGTGTGGACCCTATCATTCCAGGCTTGCTTGGAGCTCAGTTCCCCAGAAATTCCCTGCCCAGTACCTTTTGGGGCTGGAGTCGCTAAGTGCTACCTTCCCGCTGCGAAGACGTCTCCATCCGCAGACCTCTCCTCAGAGCAGTGCCCAGCTCTGGGCTAGGACAGGGAGAGTGGGAGAGCCCCCAGCCCTGTCCCCAGGCCTCATAAGACTGGTGGCTCAGTTCCCCTTTCTGAACCAACCTCCACCCAGTCCCAGGGGAAATGAAAGTGGCCAGACAAGAAAACACGGAAATCTGACTCACTGTGAACTGGGGGAGGGAAGATACATGGAAAAATTGACATTTGGGTCCCCAAGACCAAATTCTCAATCCCTTACCCTGTAGCTCATTCCCCAATCCCCAAGCCTTGCTGAGGGTCATTATAGGTTTGGTGCAGTTCACAGCCCTGGGTTAGAGCCTCGCCCACGCAATGCTATTTATAGACCCCACCTGTGCCCTCTGCCCAGAGGCCTTGGTCCTAGAACAGACGAGTGACAGTCATTGGTAGCTGCCAATTGTGGCTCCGTGAGGGTGGACAGAGGAAAGCTCTCTCGACACAAAGGAGAAGGTAAGCTACCCTGACGGCCAGCCCTCCACATGGCCAGGCCCACAGCTGTGCCTGGGGTGGTGGGAACTGGGAGACCAGAGAGGGCCTCCTCCTCTGCCCAGGGCAAGGAGGAAGTCAGGGTGAGTTCTGCCGCCTAGCCTGGCCCTGTGGGGCTGTTCAAGACAAAGATTTTGAAATTACTCATGTCAGTAGGGTACAATCGCTCTGGGCAGCTAAGGAGCGGGGTATGGAGAAGAGGTTGTCGTAACAAGTCCGGCCAGGGCCAAGGGAGGGTGTCGGGCAGGCCAAAGAAAGGTCTTCAGCCTCAGGTGCACCAGGATCAGGCTCAGTATTTCCCAAACAGGCTGCCTCCTGCCTAGAGGTGGACTTAGATCTCAGACTATCCTAAGGCCAAGAGTTCTAAATTTCGACCCTTTTGTGCCCCATCCCTGTGTTGCCTCCAGGTAGAAACAGTCACCTACACTCCCGGGGGACCTTGGAAGATAAGGCACCACCTCAGAAGGCCCATGTTTCACCCCCCCTCCCCTTGCTGTGAGGACTTGACTTTTCAAAAGACGGCAGGCCCAGCCAGTTCTGCCTTCTCAGAGGTCTGGAGACTTGGGGTGACATTTCTGCAGCCCCCAGACCTAGGGCTTGAGCCCTGGAAAGTGAGGAAAGCCAGAAAAACCGGCATCAGTTTCCATGGAAATGAGGAAAGGAGGGGCGCCTGGGTGGTTCAGTCGCTGAGCGTTTGGGTTGAGGGTCTGCCTGCTGCTCAGATCATTAATTCCGGAGTCCTGGGATTGAGCCCCATATGGGGCTCTCTGCTCAGTGGGGAGCCTGCTTCTCCCTCTCCCTCTGCCTGCCCCTCCCCCTGCTTGTATGTGTGCTCGCGCTCTCTCTCTGTCAGATAAATAAACAAAGTCTTTAAAAAAAAATGAAGAAAAGAGTTGAGGTTTCTGAGGACCTGAGGAAGCCCTCATGGGTGAATTGTATAAAAGTGAAGCGTCTAGAGGAGCAGCTCAGGAACTTCTGCTGAGGTGGGGAAGCCCCACAATTCACCCCAGAGCCCTAAATTCCAGGAGCCAACCACCTGAGGAATCTGCAACATCGTGGGGACCAGGGCCTGGGACCTGGGAGGAAGCTGGGCAGCCCCCTCGTGGGAAGAGCTTCAAGCCCTTGCCACCTGTGGAGTTTGTCTGAATCACACTGTCTCCCCGCTGACCCCACACTGAACTCGGGAGAAGGCAAAGGGTTCGCTGCACCTGGTATGACCCTAACCACACACCCTCTGGGTGGGTTGACACATCCCGAGCCAAGCCGAGGCTCTGAGGCAGCAGATGCCTCTCTCGGCTTCCTGCAGGGGAAGGCCGACGTGCAGGGGGAAACCCCAAAGCAAGGCCTTTAGGTACAAAAGAGTGGATTCCCGGTGCCTCCGTAGACTTTACAGGAGTCTCCGCGCCCGACCGGATAGCTCCAGGGAGGGCGGGGACTCTACCTCTGGCCCCCGCTGCACCTCTAGCCTCCTCCGTCGGTCCCGCCTGCGTCCTGGCAGGTCCCGGTCACTTATCCTCGCTCTGGGCGCGGGCTCGGGGTCGGGTTCTGCCTCGGGAGCCCTCTTCCAGCCCACGGCGCCCCCAGTCTCTTCTCCACCCTTTCGTGCCCCCTCCCCCGACTGCCTAGAGACCCCTACGCATTGCGGGGAAGAGGTGGGGAACACCTTCTACCCGCGTCGCGGCCCCAGCCATCTCACTTTCCCTCTACTTTCAGACCCTTACGTGTTTTGTTCCTACGTTCGAGGGAAGGGCGTAAAGAAACTCGTCCACGAATTCTTCCCAGGCTTCTCCGCTAGGAGAGTCAGAGCCTCTTGTCCGTCGCGAGTCAAAAGACGGCGCCCCTACCCGACACCATCTTCCTACACACTCTGCCCGAGTTCCTGCCATTGCCCTTGAGGTCCTGGGAAGACGAGTCCCTGAAGCCTCATCCTCTTAACCGACAGGGTGGCTGCAAAGCGCGCCTAAAGGGGGACTAGGGGCTCGCCCCTCTAAGACCCAAGCCAGACCGCCGTGGGGCGCCCCGGCGCTCTCCATCCTTGCGGAGGGAAGGACAGAAGAGCGGCGCTGATGCCCCTGCATTGGTGACCCCACCGCCGTCCCGGCCTCCGGGCTCTCCCGGCGCCTGCGGGACGGAGGCTGCGGGTGCGGCGCATCCCGCGCTGATCCGGACGTAGGAAGCACCTTGGATGCCGCCAGACCCGAGGGGCGCGCCCTGCAGTAGGCGCAACCCCCACCCCCACCCCAACACCCTTCCGGAGCTCCACCACCTGGCGGAGCCGGACGCCGACCCCTCCCGCGCTCCCGCCCTGCCCCAGTCCGCCGCCCGCCGCCGGCAGATGCCGGGAGGGCGCGGAGAGGAGCGCGGGCGGTCGGGACCTACCTGTCTACGTGCGCCCGCGTGGCTGCGCCCGGGACCACGGGCCGGGCGGCGGGGCCGAGCTGCGCTCTCCCCGAGCTGCGCCCGCCTGGCACTTCCGCATCAACCGCCCCCGCCCCTGGGCCGCGGCCGCCTAGCCTGGGAGCGCCCGCAGCGCCCCGCCCTGCCCCTCGGGACCACCCTGCCCCCGCCCCCCACCACGCTGACGCGGGACGGAGGGCCCCTGAGCATCGGGCTCGGCCGGACTCCCCTGCCACCCAAGGCCTCCCCAAGGAGACGCCAGGCAGACTACTGGGCTCCTTCCGCAATCGGGAACTGCGAGACAGTCATTTACCAACCCCAGACCCCCTCCTCATGATGCCCAAGTGCACCGCGGGGCTCGGGAACTTCCCCAGCCCGCGCCCTTCGCCCTTCGGGAGCTCAAGATCCGGGCAGACACAGACCGTCAACAGAGTGCAAAGGAGCGCGCCGCAGGGCCGACTGACAGATCGCGGGACCTCGCCCCGCCCGCGCTCCTTCGGGGGTCTCTCCCGGGCCAAGCCACGGGCCTCCGGTTTCGGACACTTCCTCCTCCACGTGCTTGCAGACAGGGCTCCTCAAGCCACTCTGTCCATTTCTAAGTCTCAACCTTCGCACCTGCCTGCCCCAGCTCTCCCTCTCTGGTCGCCCTAGGGACCTCTCGGGGTGAGTGCCTGCTCTCTTGTCCTGAGGGTCACACTTAGCCCTACTTTGACTGTCTACCTGCTGTCCTGAACGTTTTTCGGTTCCATAAATGGGTCTCACCAACTGAACCTTCATATGTCCTGTTCTTCCTCCGGAAAGCCTTCTTTGCTTGATAACGACTGCTCTCGGAATTTTGTTTCAGCATCATTTCTGGAAAGCCTACCTCGACTTGGGATCCTTGGTCGGGTTTCTCAGCTCCCAAGCTCATCCTCACTGGCTTCACTTATGAAATTTTTATTTTAATGTCTGATCCCTATTGGAATCAGCTTATTCAGGGACTATTTTTGTCTTTTCATTGTTTTCTATAGTAATTTTTATTTTTCAAAAAGATTTATTTGACAGAGAGCACAAGAAGGCAGAGCAGTAGGCAGTGAGAGGGAGAAGAGGGCTTCCCGCTGAGCAGGGAGCCGGATGTGGGGCTCGATCCCAGGACCCTGGGATCATGACCTGAGCGGAGGGCAGATGCTTAACTGACTGAGCCCACCTAGGTGCCCCTATAGTAATTTTTAATAAAAATATTTTTAAATGAAGAAAATTTCCCAGTTAATTGATTAAATTTTAGATAGCAACTAAAATATATACCTTTTTAAAAAAGATTTATTTATTTATTTGACAGACAGAGATTACAAGTAGGCAGAGAGTCAGGCAGAGAGAGAGGAGGAAGCAGACTCCCTGCCGAGCAGGGAGCCCGATGCGGGGCTCGATCCCAGGACCCTGGGATCATGACCTGAGCCGAAGGCAGAGGCTTTAACCCACTGAGCCACCCAGGTGCCCCAAAATATATACATTTTTGATAGTATTATTTGCCCTTAAAGTTCAGAGGTTCCTATGTTTTCCCCAAATCCAGTATTAGCTAATGAATCAAAACTTTGACCTTTCCCTCCTCTCTTTTTCCCTCTAGGAATGCCTGTGTTGTTCTTCAAATCTGTATCTTCAAATCTTCAAATCTTCTGTATCTTCAAATCTGTATCATTACTTACTGTGTGGTGTCTTTTTTTCATCTTTTCTGCATCTCTCTCCCTCTCCCCCAACCCCAAGCCCTAACATAAATTGGAAATATGATTATGTATAAGTATTTTATTATTTGTATCTGCTGAGTATTTTGCTCTCTCGTATTTTTGAAAATTTAAAGTGTGGATGGGAAAAACGTGGATAGGTAGATTGTTTTATATTTTTCTTCTGTAAAAATGAAACTGCCATTAAATAGAAAGTGGCCACAAAATGGGAACCCTTTTCCACCGGAGATCAGTTACGCTCGATAGAAAAAATATTATATGTCAATCCAGAAAATATATCTGGAGTAATAGCCACCAAGAGACTTCTTTTATTGTCAGATGTCCCACACACAGTCTGAGGGACCATGAAATTCTAGGATGCTGCCCCCTGCCCACTATGTACTGTCCCTTTTGCTCAGGGGAGGTCCCTACTCTTAGAGACTCTAAACTTCGTTAAGAAGTGTGCAGGGGCTGTGGTTGAGGAAGCTCACCACACTTGAGCAGGCATCCATCTCTGGTGCTAAGTGACCTCAGGCAGGTCCTGTGAGTCTCATTCTCTGTCTGTGAAGGGGAGAAGAGGTTACTGAACTCACAGCATTGGTATGAGGCCCCAGTGACAGGGGTTATGCAGGAGCTCTGCTCCCCTGGAGTCTTGCCTTGGGACCAAGGGAACCTCAACCAAGAACCACTCTGGGCCAGAGACACAGCCTAGGGAGGAAGGGGCAGGGGCAGAGCTCATCCTTCAGGTTCTTCCAAAACAGAAGGGTCCCCTTGCCTCCCCATGCTGTCTGTGGTGAAGCAAAAGCAAAAGAGAAGTGAGGCTACCCCAAGACCACACAATCACTCCTGGCCCCCCAGCCCCACCCCCACACCCCCAGCAGGCCCTGGCCACATGGGAACAGGGAGACTTTGCCTCCACAGCCCTAGATATGTGTCCAGGCCCCTCACTCCCAACGGTGAGCCAGCCCCTGCCCCCACTTCCCCTGAATGGGGTGGCAGATTGAGGGTGCGGAATCTACCCGATTCCGGTAGAGGCCAGGGAGCATGGGTGTGTGGGTGGGGGGAGCCATGTTACCAAAGGGAACTGAAAGAAGCCTAGTGTGAGTGGTAGGGACAGAGGACAGAGGTGCAAGGCGCAGTGGGACAAGAACCCCCCCCCCGCCCCCCGCCAACTCTGGACCTGCCCCTTTCAGGGCAGGACTATGCGAAGGATGGCTGCCTTTACCTCCCCTCCAAGAGACCCACCCCCTCAGCCTCAGCCCCTAGAATTCCCCCAGGCTCACCTGTCTCCCGGGTATCCCCTGTTTCTGGAAACATGTTGACTAGAAGTCAGGCCCTGGAGTCGAATAGGCCTGAGGCAGTTCCTGGTTCAGCCACGGAGGCATTATGTGACCTGCAGCTAACCACAGACTCTCTTGGAGCCCCCATTTCCCAGCTGTGAAATGAGGATAACATCTCTGTCACAGGTTGGCTTCGAGGCCTGAATTCAGTGAGTGCCCAGTGAGCAACTTCCACAGGCCAGCACGAAACAGTGGACAAGCCTCCTGCCCTCCTGGAGCTTCCATTCTGTGGAGAGAGAGCGAAAGTGCTTACATCACAAAATGAGGGGTCCCTGTGGGTCACTGTTCAGGCTGAACCACTCTCGGCTCCTGTAAACATGCACATGGTAGCCTTACTATGAGTGATTCCCAGGAAGGCCATCCTGGGGAGGCCTCCCCATTTCTTACCAACTGTCACCCCCTCAGAGCTTTCCAGGGCATGGCCTGCAAGTCCCCCACTGGGCTAGCACTGTCACACGCACACCCCTAGACCTCACGTCCCCACATACCCCCGCAATCTGCTGCTCCCTTCACCTCCTCCCACGGCCTGAGGTCCCAGGAGCTGTGCTGTCTCCATCCCAGGTCCTGGCTCTCTGCTCCCTTGGCCCTTCTAAGAACAGAGGCTACTTCCCTTTTCCTTCGTGCTCAGCACTTTCCCTCGCCCCGACCCCTGGCAACCTGGCTTCTGCCCCTCTTCCATGGACGCTGCTCTGGACCTCGGTCCTACGGTGCAAGTAGGCTCTGGAGCTCCCAGGAAGAGCTCAGAAACTCCAGTTTCCACATCTCTTTCTTGAATGAACTCTCAGATCCCAGGGTAGCCCTATTGTCTGGATTTCTCAACTGCTCACTCATTATTTATTTATTTTAAGAGAGGGCGAGAGAGGGGAGGGGCAGAGGGAGCTGACAAAAGAGACTCTTTTTTTTTTAGATTTTATTTTTTTTTTTTATTTGACAGATAGGGATCACAAGCAGGCAGAGAGGTAGGTAGGCAGAGAGAGAGAGAGAAGAGGAAGCAGGCTCCCCGCTGAGCAGAGAGCCCCATGTGGGCCTCGATCCCAGGACCCTGGGATCACGACCCAAGCCGAAGGCAGAGGCTTTAACCCACTGAGCCACCCAGGCTCCCTAACAAGAGAGACTCTTAAGCAGGCTCCATGCCAGCCTGACTCGGGGCTCCATCTCACAACCCTGAGATCATGACCTGAGCCCAGATCAAGAATCAGACGCTTAACCGACTGAGCCGCCTAGACGCTCCTCTCATCAGTTCTTCAAATAAAGGTGGTGGAGACTCTCCTAGCTCAGCTCAGTGCCTTAGTGTTGTCCCCTGCCACTCCCCAGCCCCCCACCCCCACCCATCCCACCTCGCCATCGGAGCTGCCCTGCCTCTCCGTGCCCTCATCCTTGGTCCTTCTGCTGACCCCTCCCCCATTCACATCTTCCTTCTAGACTGCCAGGATGCCTCGCCCAGACATCCTGATACCACCCCCCCACCCTGCCTGCTGTGATTCAAGCGCTCAGAAAATCTGCTGAACTCAGCGTTTCACTCAAACCACTTCCGTCCCCACAACTGGGCCCTGTCAGAGAGGGGATGAGGACTCCCATTCTTCCTGCCTGTCTGAAGAGCACGAGGCACCTGGATAAGAAGGAAAAGAAAGAGGAGGCAACTCAAGCCTTCTAGGCTCCTGCACTGTGAACAGCTGCCTTATGGGGACAGAGGCCACTCGGCCCCGCAGGACTGAGTTGTGGACCTTAGTGTCCTCTCTTGTCCCAGACAAACCTGGTTGATGCCCAGAGTCTGTAGGTGTCCCTACTGGGGACAGGGTTCCCATCCAGGAGCACGAGGCCCACCTATCATTGGCTGGGGTGCAAGAGGCCTGACAGTCAGGCTCCAGTGGGCTTACCAGCCAGATCCATCTGAAGCCCCTGGCCCTTGAAGCCAGGGCTTGGGATCCTGCCTGGGGCAGGACTGATGTCCTTTGGGAGGAGACACGAGGGAGGAGTCAGTTCTGTCCAGGAGGTCAGGGTCAGCCCAGAAGCA